CGCCCAAATAACTTCCCTTTCAATTTCTCTTGAAGCAAACCAAAATCAGAGTTACGCCATTCCTCCCCAGTTACATGTTCTAAAATGGTTCTTGTTATTTGAGTAACATCAAACTCATCAGAAACACAAACCCATGCCTTCAAGTCAAATCTGCCTTTCAGTTTCTTATCATTGTAAATGAGACGAGCAAGAGTTGTTTTGCCTAGTCCACCCATTCCGACAATGGGAATAACAAAATCTTGTTCGAGACTGCCTCCATCTTTTAGCAACCTCTGAAGAATAGCATCTTTATCTCTATCTCGACCCCACACCTTATCTACAAGTAAAGCAGACTCATCAGGTAATCTTTTTGCAGCTACTCTGTGAGACCAATCTTCAAGTTTCAAAGCCAAATTGGTCAAGTCCAAACTACGCATCCCATTTTCAATTTTCTGCAATCTATCGCTCAGATCCGTCACCATGGAATTAATCTCTTGATTGGGCTTAGCCTTATTAGAGCTAAAAAAATTCTTGAAACTAGAGATGTTTCTTTGTCGCTTGCTAGGTCTGGCTTCAGATTCTGCAATCAATTCAAACCTTTTGGGATCAATCACAAACTCTTCGAGTATGTCCTCCATATCATAAGCCAAGTCCCTGAGATCATCAAGAGATAACTTCACAAACTGGTTGGCAACTGGATTTTCTTCCGCATGTTGAAGTACAGCAATAATTTTGGGCAATAGAGTCTTCCAGCTTTTCATTTGGGCACGTATTTCCATTGGATAAAACAGCTTTTCTGCAAAAGAGAGAGAAAAATAGATTAAAGTATAAATTAAACTAGTCTATTGAATACTGCATATTCATTTGACTATCATTAAATTAATATTTTATTCTAATAGATTGATTTAATTAACTTAGATTTAATTATTTTCTCGTGTTGGTATTGAAAATAGCAAGATTATATTAAGGGAGTTCGCGATATAATTTGGTTCGGATTTTATTATTTTTTAAATTAATTTAATTTAATTGATTAATAAAATTTTTAAATCAATTCAATTCACTATTATGTAGTAATTAAATCAATTCAATTTAAATTGAATCAATGTGGTTCGGTCAGATTTATTGATTTTTAATATTATTAAATATATAAAATAATGTAAAAATATTTTAATATCAAATAGAAAGTATAATTATAAAATAAATTAACATCTAAATCAGTAAAAACATGATAATAAGTAAAAATTATAAACAAATTTTTATACTCCTTTATACTTGTAAAAATTGAAAAATTTCAAAAATTATTCTTGATTACATCACTAGAGGCACCAAAAATAATAAAAAATAACTTCAAATTTCTAACACAACGTAAATAATTCTTGAAGATTAAAATTCTTTTTTTTCCTAATACACTAATAATTTGAAGTAAAAATTATAAACAAATTTTTATACTCCTTTATACTTGTAAAAATTGAAAAATTTCAAAAATTATTCTTGATTACATCACTAGAGGCACCAAAAATAATAAAAAATAACTTCAAATTTCTAACACAACGTAAATAATTCTTGAAGATTAACATTCTCGAAAGATATGGGTCAGGTAGACATGGTTCAGGTCGACTTGGACCCAGAGCAGTCAATACAGCTTGAAAAGAATGAGGAGGTTGGATCGTGTGATAAGAAGAAGGGGCAGAAGGGGACGGTGGACAGTGTAGGGGAACAATCACAAGAGGCAATCATTGATTTTACCCCGACGCAGGAGGAGCTTCACTGGCTGGAAGGAGGTATGGTGGCAATATTGAAGTCCTTAATGTCAATCTCAAACATTCAGGAGAGAATCGATGTGGATGGAGGTTTGATTATGGTATCACCATTAGGGGGCAGGTCAGTGCTGTTACTTGAAAGAGTGAAAGGTTATCTGGGTAAGTACATGGAACAGAATAAAGAATTGTGCGATGCTTGGTTTGAATCCATACAGCCATGGGCAGTGGCGTCCCCGCAGAGAAGTAGACTAGTGTGGGTACGAATTTCAGGGATCCCGTTGAAAGCTTGGTGTGAGAGGTGCATCACATTGATCGGAGGTACAGTGGGCGAGGTGGTGATGGTGCATGATGATACCAAAAAGAAGTCTTTTCTGTGTGAAGGAAGAGTTCTAGTGTTATGTACTGATGCAACCAAAATAGCAAAATTGGTACAATTGAAGATCGAAGGCCAGATTCATGAGGTATGGGTGTCGGAGGAAGAATGGAGATCAGACCCCGATTGGTGGTTATCGGACGGTGATCGGCGGAGCTCTTCAGGTGCATCATCGGAAGATTCCGTATCTCAAATTGGTGAAGAAGATCAGGAAATTAATATTGCCGAGATTAGTGCCGAAGAAGAGGATAGCATTGATTCGGAGCAGTTTCAGATGGAAGGAAATTTGAATTCAAATAGTAGGGAGATAACGGCTCAGGAGGAATATGGAATGAATGGCGGGATTGAACAGGGTATGGATGATAGGGGGATAGTGGACTCGATTGGGCTTGTGAAGGATAATGAGTTGATAGCTGATAATGGGCCGGGGGTTAACTTTACAGGGATGGTCGAAAATTGCAAAAGCTTAGGGCCCAAAGTCATAGTTCTAGAAGAAGCAACACGTGATAAGGATAGGAAAGAAGTGATGGGTAAAAGGATGAGAAAGCTTGCGGATTGTGATCCACAAGAAGGGAGAGAAACTCGAGAAGAACAAGCAATCTGGGTTACCAGACGGTTGAAACAGAGACAAGCAAGGAGGATGAAAGCCCAGCAGCAGCCAGAGGAAGCGAGTCGGTCCCAGCAAGAATTAAGGAGTGATTCTCTTTCAGATGGGTGTATTGCTCACCGGAACCGTGTGATTCACCAGGAACTAAATCTGCAAGAGGTAAGAAGAATGATTAGAGCTGGGCGAAGGCTCGGCATGCAGTTTCAAGGGAATGAAGAGGAGGTAGAGTCTCGGTTTTTAGACCTGGAACAAAGGGATGATGTCCGGGGGAAAAATAGCTAAGATAAGGGGTCCGTCCGGAGGTAGGGTGGAAGTGGGTTTTGCTTGCAATGAAGTTTATTTCTTTTAATGTTAGAGGATTGGGGGGAACGGTGAAGAGGAGGGAGTTGGGTAATTTAGTAAGGGCAGAGAAACCAGATTTTCTATTTGTCCAGGAAACCAAATTACAAGAGATAGATGAAGGACTGTGTCAAAGGTTGTGGTATTTAGATGAGTTCGGATGGAGTATGAAAAGTTCGATTGGAGCTTCCGGAGGTTTGTTGTGTGTGTGGAATATGTCAATTTTTGTCAAATTGGAGGAGTTTGTAGGTGACGGGTTCTTGGGTATAAAAGGAGTTTGGGGTGTAAATAAGGAACCGTGTCTGTTTGTGAATGTGTATGGCCCGACTGATAGAAGGAGAAAGGCTGCGTTATGGGATGAGCTGAGGCAGAGAATTACAGAGGAGGGTGGGAGATGGTTGCTGGCAGGGGATTTCAATGCTGTGCGGTGTCTTGAAGAAAGAAGGGGAAGAACAGGTATGAGTGTAGAGATGTCGGAGTTTGATGCTTTCATAGAGACAACAGGTTTGGTTGATCTTAAGTTGGCCAATAGGAAGTTTACATGGTATAGACCGGATGGTACATCCATGAGTAGATTGGATAGGGTATTGATGACTGTGGAGATGAGCAGTATGGGTGAGGAATGGGTGCAGAAGGGGCTGAGGAGAAATATATCTGATCATTGTGCTATTATTTTAAAAACAAGAGTTACGGATTGGGGACCAAGACCTTTTAGGGTGTTGGACGTTTGGCAGCAACATCTAGATTTTAAGAAATTCGTTGAAGACAACTGGAATGAGATGGAGGTGGATGGGTTTGCGGGGTATAGGTATTTACAGAAATTAAAAATGTTGAAGAAGTTTTTGAAAGGGTGGAATAAGGAAGTGTTCGGGGATGTAGAAGCTCAATTTCAGGATGCTATTGATAAGGTTGCTCAGATTGATATGAAGAATGAAGAGGCTGATTTGGAAGTGGAAGAGTTGGCTGAAAGAAAAGAAGGCTTTCATGAAATGTGGGATATTATGAAGAAGAGGGAGATTATATGGAAGCAGAAATCACGATGTAGCTGGGCCAAATTAGGGGATGCTAATACGAGGTTCTTCCACAAAGTAGCAAATGGTAGAAAGGCTTTTAATAACATTAATGGCTTCGTGTGTGATGGCAAGTGGGTGGAGGAGCCAGTGGAGGTGAAGAGAGAGGTTGTCAGGTATTTTGGTAAGAGGTTTGACGGAGAATCCTGGCGACGACCCAAGCCTGTCGGAATTAATTTTAAGCAGATCTCGGAAGAGATGAAAACAGGGTTAGAAAGGCCATTTTCTGAAGAGGAGATTGAGGAAGGGTTGAAGAGTTGTGAGGGAGCTAAAGCACCAGGGCCGGATGGATTCAATTTTAATTTTCTCAAATTTGCGTGGAATTGTTTGAAGGCAGATTTTATGAGCTTTTTTGAGGAATTTCACCAGAATGGCAGGTTAGTAAAAGGATTAAATTCTTCTTTCATAACTTTAATACCTAAGAAGTTGAACCATCTAGAATTAAAAGATTTTAGACCTATTAGTTTGATTGGATGTCTGTATAAATTATTGGCAAAGGTGCTGGCTAATAGGCTAAAGGGTGTAATGTCAGGGATAATTAGTGACTCTCAATCTGCTTTTCTGGGGGGTCGTCAATTGGTTGATAGTGTTTTAGTTCTAAATGAGGTTGTCGATGAAGTTAAGTTGAAGAAACAAAAGTCTTTCGTTTTTAAAGCTGATTTCGAAAAGGCGTATGACTGTGTAGATTGGGCATACTTGGATTGGATGTTGTGCAGGATGGGATTTGGAATGAAATGGCGTGGATGGATTAGGGAGTGTCTGTCAACAGCAAGGATTTCGGTTTTAGTGAATGGAAGTCCGACGGAGGAGTTTGGGATGGGTAAAGGTTTAAGGCAGGGCGACCCGTTATCCCCGTTTCTTTTTCTGATAGTTGCTGAGGGGTTAAATGGATTAGTTAGGAGAGCAGAAGCTGAAGGAATGTTACATGGCATCGCAGTGGGTAATAAGGGGTTAATTGTCTCTTTGCTTCAATTTGCTAATGATACGGTGATTTTGGGGAATGCTGACAGTGAGAATATATTTGCAGTTAAGACCATTTTAAGATGCTTCGAGTTGATGTCTGGTTTACGGATTAATTTTTGCAAGAGTAGTGTGGCCAGATTCAATGTGTCAGAAAGATGGATTAAAGGGGCAGCAAGTGTCTTACATTGTGGTGTTGGGGGAACTTCTTTTTGGTACTTGGGGTTGCCGGTTGGTGGGAAGATAAAATGTAAGAAGATGTGGGAACCTGTTCTGGAAAAATTTCGGGCCAGGCTTGCCATCTGGAAGTCTTCTACGCTGTCCTCTGGTGGCCGCATCACTCTACTCCACTCGATACTCTCTGCTATCCCTATCTTTTATATGTCGTTATTTTTAATGCCAAAGTGTGTGGTTTCGGAGTTGATTAGTATTCAACGGGCTTTTTTGTGGGGTGGGGTGGAGTTAAAGAGGCAAATTCCATGGGTTAAGTGGGAGTATATTTGTTTAAGTAAGAATAAGGGTGGGCTAGGAGTGCTAGATTTATGTAGGAAGAACTGGGCTTTATTAGGGAAATGGTGGTTTAGATTAGGTGATGGGGTGGAGGGTTTGTGGAAGAAGGTGGTGCGGGAGAAGTATTATGGGGGCAGGGAGGAAGTAGATATTACGACGTTTGAGAATGTGAGGGTGTCTAAGATTTGGAGAGATATTATCAATATAGGACAACGATCTGTAAGATCACAAGATTTGTTGAGCAAGGGGTTCAAGTGGGTGGTAGGGAATGGCTATCGAGTGGGGTTCTGGAGGTCGGTTTGGGTGGGGGAGAAATCTTTAAAGGAATTGTGTCCTCGATTGTTTGAGTTGGCCATAAATAAGGAGGGTTTTCTTAGTGAGATTGGGGGTTGGGAGGAGGGTAGTTGGCGATGGAATATAATTTGGCGGAGAGAGAGGTTTGGAAGAGAGAAGGATGAGGAACTAAAGTTGTGGGAGGTGTTGAGTAGCGTTTGCATTAAGGTGGGGGTTGCAGATCGTTGGCGGTGGAGGCATGCTTCAGATGGGATGTATGTGGTGAAACAAGCCTATGAGTTTTTACAACCGACGGATTCTATTCTTAATGATTGGCTGTGTAAGTTAATTTGGTGCCGGTTAGTACCTTCTAAGGTAAGTTTCTTTGGGTGGAGATTATGCCTTCAGAGACTTCCAACAAAATGGAATTTGCACAAGAAAGGGGTGGTGTTAGAAGGAGGCTTAATGTGTGGGCTGTGTAATGAGGAGGTGGAAGATACTAATCATCTGTTTTGTACATGTAAAGAAGTCTGGTTAATTTGGGTTAAGGTAATGTCTTGGTGGGGAGTAGAGGTTGTGCTGCCGTCTAGTCTGGAGGGGGTAGCAGAATTTTTCATCTATGGATTGGGTGAGGTTGTAGGGAAGGAATTGGGAGCAAGTATTTTTCTGGTTACATCATGGTATATCTGGTATTGGAGGAATTGTAGAGTTTTCAAGGGAGATGTGGCCTTTAGGGAGGGGTTGTTGGATATGTTACAGGAAAAGATTTTCTTCTGGGTCAAGAATAAAGTGCAGGGATGTGTATTTTCTGTTTGTGATTGGAAGGTAAATCCGCAAGAGTGTGCTGCAGCTATGAGAAATTATAAGAGGAGGCAAAAGGAGTTTCACCAGCACCAAAAAGGACGGCTATAGATGGTGAAGTAGCCTGAGGTTTCTTTTGCTATTATTTGGTTTCTGTTAGTTATAATTTAATTTTGTAACTGGGTTAGAGTACCCCTTGTACTCTACATAATAAAGTTGATTTTGCTGATAAAAAAAAAAAAGACTAATAATTTAATCACATTTTTTAAATCCTATTAAAAGTGAACATTTAACATAAATATTACTAAAATTGATTAAAAACATTCATAATCAAAATTTAAAACTTCTAAACTAAATATCCAAAAATATTAGAATATTAAGATTAATTTTATTATATAGTTTTAAGAATTTTAAAATGATACTTATTTAAAATTTAATTAGAAAAATTATAAAATTATTTTAAGAATAAATTAAAAATTTAAAGTTCTAAGAGTAAAGGCGCAAACTAATTATGGTATAATAGGGTTGTAGGTGAATTAAAAATTTAATAATAACTTAGGGAATATGAAAATGTTTTATTTTTATTTTTTTTTAATTAAGTTAATAGAGTTATAATCTTGTAAAATAAGAAAAAAAAATTAAAATACTAAAAAAATGTGTTATATTATTTAATTAAATTATTTTTTAATCAAAT